CTACTACCTACTACTACCTACTACTACCTACTACTACCTACTACTACTACTACTACGACTACTACTACTACTACTACTACTATGACTACTATGAACTAGTGAGTGAATGAATGAGCGAACGAACGAATGAACGAAGGACGAACAAGATGCATGGACGACCTGTTTTTTCTGACATTTGGATCGCCTTCGACACTGAGCAGATTGGGCTGAACGTGGCTGTTTTGAAATGTCATGGTGGGGATCACTCGAAGTGAAATATTTTTTTTTTTTCTTTCTTTCCTTCCTTCCTTCCTTTCTTCCCTCCCTCCCTCCCTCCCTTTCATTTCTTCGTTTTGGCATACTTCTGGCCTGGAAAGGCTGAGCTGGTCTTGTCAAGACGAAGTTGAGATCTCTTGAGGCTTGGAGGAGCTCCTAGCCGCCGCCCGGATTCCTGTACCATGCTCAGGTATGATGTAGGACCTTGTAAGGCCTCGGTCTGCAACTTAAATCTATTTGTCCAAGCACCGAAGTCCTGAATCTGGATCTCAGGTTTCAGTGGCAGCGGCAGAAGGCAAAGTTCCTTTTGCAGGTCCTTCCATTCTTGTGGTCAAGGTTGTGTTGGACAGACACTCCTTGGTTCTGTCATGAACAGCCAAATCTTTCACCATCTCCAAGCCGTTGAACATCACAAGCTGGAGAGGATGTGGTGTGCCGCTGCAGCTCCAGGCAAGGATACGATACATACACCAGGGCATGTTCTTCTGATATTCTGGCGACCTGCACTTTAACTTTACAAGCTGGTTTACGAGCACTCGTTGCTACAACTACAGCATGTATTTTTGTACATACATATATTTACCTTCCAGTGAAAACATGTCAGATCTTAATTTCCAGAGGATAGCAAAAGAAGGACAGCGGTGTTGTTTGGGCCTTCTTCGTGTCTTGACACCGTGAACAGGCTGCTTGGCGAGAAACCAGACTTCTGCTGTTGGATCGCATTCGCCATGTTCTCAGGATCAGCATCTACAATTGGCAATTTTTTAAAAATTGCTAAATCTGTCTTGATTAAGCAAAGCAGCCCGCAAAGCCAAGGGCCGAGGCTCTCTAGGCTCCGTTTGGAATAAACTGTTTGAACTTTCAATTCTTTGGACTTTCAACTCAGGCAGTGCGCTGCGTGCGCTTTGCACTGGTGCTTCAAACGAAGGCTCTGAAGGCCCTGCTATTGGTCCTATTCAGACGTATGCCGCGTCACGAGAGAAAACATGAGAACGCCCAGTCTGTCATACCAACTAAATTACTGTAACCAAATCAGGCTGGAAAGAACTCTATCGCTTCTCTCTGAAGCTTCAGCCGCCCGGGCCTCCAATCCTCCTCTCATAAACTTTCAACCTGTCGCTTTACTAAGGTCTGAACTCAAGGACTTGGTCTTCATGTACGATAAAGTTTCTAGCCCCAAGTAGCCCTTGGAACCAAGAGAACGTCTTGGCTCCAAGGTAGGGTCCCTGTGTTTTAAGGCCCATTGTTAATGGTGTAGAGTGCCGTGTGCAGTTGGCAATTTATTTTCACAGCCAAAAGCTACCAGTGACATCCAGTGACAAGTGCTGAAGACAAGTGCTCAAGCGCTGAAGACTTTGTCTCGATCCTTGTTCTGCCCATGACGCCGTGTCAACGCCCAGAGTTCTGCCAGAGTCCTGTGCGACATGACCTGCATTTTCACTGGGATCGGAGCTTCACATCTGTCAAGGAACAACCGTGCCATGACCATATCCAGAGCATATCGGACAGTTGACAAGGCAGTTCATGTTGATTGCATCGGCTGAAAAAGTTGGTGGAGGAGCTGTGGGCTTTTCCACCAGGCAGACAAACCCTGCCGAGAGCCAACTTCTTGAGTATATGATATGTCTAGGATTCATGACGTATCCTTTACAAACCTCGCATGGGGGAGTTCAGCCTCTTAAATCTTTGTGAATGTGAGCAGGCTTAAAATGCCTAAGGGACTTTTTGGATGTTCACTAGTTATTTGAGAGCACCATAAATAAAGAAGGAAGTTTAATAACTCATGGGGTCGTTGGCGTGCCATGGGCGTGATCCTCATGAGGACTGCGCTGTTAGTCCTGTGTGATTCAGGGTCCCCAGTAGTCAGAACCAGGGACGCAATAATCTTAGCCAGTCAACGTACTTCAATGTACTTCGACCTTGCAAGATCAGTGAGCTCTTGAGTCATCCGCCATTCCACCACGATTCATTTGCAGGACTTTTGCGCTGATAACGTTGAGCCCTTGAAGTTGTCTCACTTGTCGCACAACAAATTCTCAAATCGTTGAAGTTGAAGTGTTCTGTCATTGGCGAGGTGCTACGGTTCTGTCATTGGCGCTCCCACTGCACGGAGCATATTGAGTATATAAACTTGAGAGCGATGGAGAGTTCCTCAATTGGTCTACCTTGGATAGACTTGCTCTTCATATTACAACTGTCAACTATTGCGCAACCTCTTTGCATTTCTATTCATTACGCAACCCCTTTGCTGAGGTGAACCTGGATGATCCGCTTAGCTTGGGCCAATGCACCTGCGACCTCACGCAGGCCCGACGAGAGGGGAACGTGTACCTGCGGGTTGAGTTGGCCCGGTTGAGGCGAATTTTCATGTGACATTCGTAACAAAAAGGGGGGGCGGGTACGTCTCCAATTCTTTTTTTTGGGGGGGGAGGATGACCTGCTTAATACGAATTAATACATTACTTGCACTAGTAGCATCCGAAAGCAATCATGTTTTGTTTGTAAGTTTTGTTATACTGAAGTAGAAAGGATTTGACACCAGCTCACGATACACCACTTAAGGCCTTCTGCAGTTATCCGAGCTCGCGAATTCAGATGTACAGAGGATGGATACGTTTTTTTTTTTGGTCAGGGCCAGTTGGTGAACGGTTTTTTCGGGGTCTTGAAATCCGAAATCCGAAGGAAGACCAGGTTCCCTTCGGACGGTCCCTTTCTTCCCTAAGGCGCAATGTAACGTGAACTGCTGCCGGAGACTCAATCCCACCTGCGACCTTCACGGTGTCGCTCAGTAAAGCTTAAAGCCCACCTTCTGCGTGAGCACGGCATAGCAAAGGAAGGGGTTTGACGTTCAACGAAGCATTGCGTGGCGTTTTTGGAGGGGAAGGCGTTGATGAAAAATCATACCATGAGGCCCTAGCCAGTGGCGTTCAACGGATTCCTCTGTTCTTCTCTTCACACTGAGGCTGTGACCCTGATTGCGTGGGTCTGACAGATTCGTTCAGCTGTTTGCCAGAAGGCCACTGCAGTGCCACTGCAGCTGGATTCTGCTTTTTGACTTTCTCACTCCGAACGAGCAATGATGAGAACCATCACATTGGCGTGCCACAAAAAAAGGATCTTGACAAGTCAAGCAACAATGCCGTCCCAGAGGCCCCAAGAGTGCAACCACACAATACTGCTACTCCAAAAGCTGGCTGCACAGGGTGAATCCGCCATTTCCTTAGCTTTGAGATGGTTCACAAGCAGATGCGAAAGTACGTCATGCCTGTGTTTGCTTGCACACTGCTTGATGTGCATTCAAAAAGGCGACGATCTCAACCGAGGCGAGTTGATCTCTGGGTGATCGCAGATGACTTGCGTGGATTGCTTTGCGTATCGGTCGACAACAGCTTCTCAGCTTGATTGGTTGCTTTTCGGTTTGTGGAAAGGCTAAACAAGGGTTGCTAATGTTGCTACATGCACAAACATGTGCTTCTTGTTGCAGCAGTAGGCAAGGAATCTATAATCTTTTAGACCTTGAGTCTGCTCTGGCCATTTGTGCTGCACGAGCTGCTTGTCCCTTTTCTTTAAGATTGGACACATCAGCATGAGCATGTCAACGGAAGGTGCTTAAGGTGCTTGTGCATAGCCCTTGGTCATTTTGAGGTGCAGTGCAAGGAGAAGTATTTCAAAACCAGGCACATAGCTGTAGACGATCATCGATATGGTAAGCCTTGTGGCTGCTATCCCACAGAAGCAATACTGAAAACACAGGAAATGATTTCAGGTCGAGGGTTTGCATACTGACGAGACTGGATGAAAAGTTAGTGGTAGCAGTGCGCTTCACATTCTTGTTTTGAAGAGTGCGCAGGCAGTTTTGTCCTCTTCTCAAGTGGACGCGATTGTTCAGGACGCCAGCCCTCCTTGTGAGTTTATGTGGTAAACCAACATCTTCCAAGCCTACTTTAGCTCTGCTCAGCCCCTCGCCTACTTCAAATTTATGGCTGGGGCTGCCTTGCAAGGAGAATTCGCCCCTGGCAACTTCGGTAGCAGCGACTTTGGCAGCATCTGAGGATGTCTAGGGGCTCTACCAACTTTCCACATCATTCTGTGAGGTGTCTCAAGACGTGGTCGTGCGTGGCTACCATGCTGGAGATATTCTGAAGGCTGAACACGTTGGACGATCTATGCAAGGAAATCAGATTATATAGTCAATTTGGAGGTGCACTTTGCACTGTCTCCTGACCAAGGAGCCATGGGCCAAGATGTTTCATTCAAGTCAAGACCAATTTTCGTAGTTGAAAGCCTGGCTGGCTAGCAGCTGGCACCGAAATCCTGCTTCTCGTAAGAATTTAAATGACAAGGTGCAGGTGATGCAGGGGGTGTCAACCCTGGAGAACGCGAATTTTGTGGAGGCGAGGAAGGCAAAGTTAGTTTTTGATAGTTGCTTGGAAGCCTCATGTGCTTTTCCTTAGAAGATTTTAAACGGGTATTTAGGTCCGCACATCGTGAGCTGGAGGTGGTAAGCCCCTTATCTTTGCCAACGGCTGATCCTTATGGAACCTGCGCTGCGAGCCCTGGCCAAGTTGTCAGGCGACCAATGATGTGTTTGGATGCTTTGAAACACACGAGACTTTCCAAAGCAGACATGAACCAGGAGAAACCTGAAACCTCGTTCTTGCAAAGCAGTCAGTTCAGTAAGTTTGATCAGTGGGCACTTCAACCATGAGACAGCTGATGCCTTCTCGTCAGATTCCTGAATGATGTACCTCCTACGTCATGCTGGAAGCGGAACTTGGACTTGCCCAGCCAATGCGCCGCTTTGAGCCCAAGGCCCATGAAAAACGGATTACTAGTAGTATGGCCAGGAGCTACAAGTAGCTTGGTTTCCCTTCCTATGTTTCACAGAGAAATCATGTTGGAGGATGGCTGGATGGCTTTGCTGGTTTTACTCAGTTCATCTGCAACCTTTTGGACATCCGGTCACCGATGTTTCACTCTTTTGGCAATTCGTTTGGCTGTTTGTTTGAGAATTTGTGGGCCAACTATTTGCAGATTTTAGAAAAATAAATGACAGCTGTGGGCGTGGTTGCTGCGTGCTTTGTGCTCTTTTTCTATGCGGCTTGGTTGAACAAAGTTCTTTTTTTTGGACCGGCAGGCAGCAAGTGGGTACATGGATGCCGGATCCTGGGTGTATTCACATTTTTTCATGTCCACATGTGCGCACTAGTGCAGAATTAGACCAGAGGGCTTGTGAGTGATTTGGATCTTGTGACAATTCTGGATCCCACTTGGCAACCGACCACGCATGATTTCCTTCTTTGTGTTTCTCTTGCAAATCCCATGTTGCAGACGATGCTCGGTTGCGGCGCATGTCACCCAATACCATCAATGCAAGGCTCCGCAGTCAGTACTTGCCAGAGGCGTACGGCAGTCCTACGTATCTATGCATTTATTGGTACTTTTTTTGCGCAACTTCAAGGTGTTTCTCACATCAAACTGTGGTTTGGGCACTGTCCCCCGATGATTCTGACGACAGGACATGCGCTGCGGGGACCGCTGCTTGCTTCCAACCTCATGCGCAGTGCAACGTGTGGCTGCACGATCCTGAGTCATCACCGTCAGCATAGCAGGTGTGAGTAAGCAGGGCTGTCGTAATGAATTCCTTCTGCGAGTCAGTCCGCACAAAACAAGAAGTGTACCAAGCACTCTTGAAGGCCCCTTCGAACTGTTCGAAACCAGCCATTAACTTGGCAACGTTTGGCTCAAGAAATAAAAGGTCCGAGTGAGTTGCACTCACATGGGTTATAACGGTTATGAGCCCAAATTAGGTGGAAGTCCACCCTGAGGTTCTCAGGTTGATGGCCGCCATGGACCGCAGGCGAGCGTCTTCGAAAGCTCGGAGGCAGACGGCAGATGAGCAGCTGGACCAGCTGCTAGAGGAGCACAGGGCGAAGTCCGCCCCACCGAGGAGAGCATCATCCTTGGAGCCGAGCACCAGTATGGCACCAGCCTTGAAGAGGACGGCTGCAACACCCAAGCAGACGCCGGTGCCACCAAGGGCCCAAGAGACGGTGCAGGTGCCGATCTTTCCGGATGTTCCTCCGCTTCCCGCCGGTGCAGGTCTGTTACCTCGTCCTCCTGGAGCTAATGGCAATGGTGTGGCATCCATCCGTTGGCAACAACAACAAGATGAGTTCTTCCTTGAGGTGACGCGCGAGCGCAACTTGTGGAGGGTGATGAAGCAGGGATGTGCACAGCCGCAAGGGCTACTGTTGGTCTACGTTGACGACCTCCTAGTGCTCAGTGGGGAGGAGGTGCGCCAGGCCCTGATCCGTGAGATCCAAAGCCACTGGCAAACGTCGGTGCCGGAGGAGGTGAACCACCAGCAGTGGGTCAGGTTCTGTGGCTACGAGATGAAGCGCTTCGAGGACCAGATCATGTTGGGACAGCCTTCCTATCTCCGGGACTTGATCAAGCGGCGACAGGTTACGGGCAAGAGGTCCTCACCTATGGCCAAGGACATGATGCCTCCTGAAGAACCTGAACAAGATGTAACTGTTGCTCACATCCGCGAAGCTCAGTCCATCGCGGGGGAGATTTTGTGGATCGCCTTGAGGTCCAGGCCGGATTTGTCCTGTTCTATGGACCCTGCAGGCCAGGAGATCGAGGACTGACGGCGACCTTCCCAAAGAGCGCAGCATGAATCTGGTGGAGATGTACAGTGATGTGTCGTTCGCTCCGCAAGGTGGTCGAAGTGTTCAAGGCATTGCTGCAATGTTGGGTGGCGCGCTCATCCAGTGGGAGACTTCAGGCAAACCTCTATGGCTCTGTCGACCGCAGAGTCAGAGTTGTACTCCTACATCGAGGCGATCACCATGGCGGACTCGGTCAAGGCCTTGTGGGTGGAGATCAGTGGCCACATGCCGGAGGCGGTTACCTATGGTGACAATATGGCGGCCATCAGCATCATCCAGAAATCCGATGGTCCATGGAGAACGCGGCATCTGAGGTTGCGTGCAAGTGTTCTCAAAGAACGCCTTCAAGAAGGGTCGTGGCGTATCTTTCACCTGGACGGCAAGCGCCTCATCGCGGACGTGTTCACCAAGGCGATCGTGGACAAGAACGTCTGGAGCTGGTTCAGGCGCTTCGTTCACTTTCAGGCTCCAGAAGGGGGAACGCGCGAGACGGCGGTTGTGGCGGAGCTGACGGAGGTCGTGACGGAGGCGAAGAACAAGGCGAAGATGGTGGACGCCGTGGCCAAAGTGGCGAAGCTGGCACTTTGCATGGTGGCTGGTTGCGCTGCTGCTACGTGATTGCCGGCAACAACAAGGGTGGCTTTGGTGGCATCTTTGGCGATTGGCGTGGCCTACGTAGTGAAGAGTAGTGGGTTTTCGCGGGGAGCCAGGGACCGGGGGGGAGTGTTCACATTTTTCCGACAGGGGAATTCAACATGAATTGAAGTCACTTGAACACTCCTCCCAACCTCCACCTCGCTTGTGTGCCCTGCGGCGAGCGCCGTCGCGGGAACAAACAGACCATGAAAGGTCGCAACAACGGACCAGACAAGAAAACACAAGAAATGAACAAGAGGCCATGAATTCCAATGCGTCGGGCCGCACGCAAACCTCTTGGGATGTCGTCTCGGAAACAACAAACCCAAGGGACCCAAACAGTAGCCTAGAGGCTCCCAATTCAACCACCTTCGAGGTGGAAGCGTCCAGTGCTAGCCATGGCGTATGGGGCCGCATCCAAATGCGGCTTCCAGCGGTCTTTCGAGGTGGCCGCGAATGGTTGGGACAAGATGAACCAGAAGAGGTGCACTACACGACCTCGCAGGTGACCCAGGCAGCGATGGACGAGGGCACGTACGATGTGACCAGGCCTCCCATTTTGGTCACCAGCGAAGGTCTGGGTACTACGCCCTGAGGAGGTGGACACGGAGACACAGACCATCCGCCTCATCCCGAACGACAGGTTTTTGGAGAGGTCATCACCAGCGAAAGCACCACCGGTGAAGCAACCACCGGTGCCTACACAACGGGGCTATGGAAGTGGGGCTTCATCGGCCAAGTCAGGTGGCGGCGCGTGGGCAAGCGGCGCTGACGGCTTCGAAGGCTGCGGGATCCTCCATGCAAGGGGTCTCCAAATTGGGCTCCGTGGCGACAAGGGGTCCAATGGCTCCACCTACCATGGAGAGGCGGCAACAAGCTGCCACGGATCGGCCTTGGAACAGGCCGGGCAAGGCTCCACCAACCATGCTGATGAGGCCTACGGGAGGCATGATGGATGATCAGGTGGAGTTCCAGGATTCCGTCTTTTGGACTCCGCAGGTGTTGGACGCTGTGCAGGATGTCATCGAGGAAGAGGCTCTCTTCTACAAGCCGGTCCACAAGAGCGACAAGTGGGACTACATCGACATGGATGGCGTCCGCTGGCTCATCAGGTACCACGGCAGCTCACGAGTGCAAAGGTTCCACCCGGAACACAGAAGCTGTCCCGAAGAGATCACGGACCTAGAGTTCATGAGGGTCACGCTGGCTTGGAAAAGCCAGGAGTGGCATCGGCGCGTCCTGATCGACAGCGACTGGCGGCGGAGTGAGATCACCGGACCAGCCGGCTGGATCGGGTTTTCGCTTTTTCTGATTCGCTCCGGACCCCGGAGCATGTGAAAGGTCAAAACGACCTGGAAGGTCGGGGGGGAGTGCGAGTCAGTCCGCACAAAACAAGAAGTGTACCAAGCACTCTTGAAGGCCCCTTCGAACCGTTCGAAACCAGCCATTAACTTGGCAACGTTTGGCTCAAGAAATAAAAGGTCTGAGTGAATTGCACTCACATGCCTTCGATTTGGTTGAGGTTTTGGTATTTCCGACAATTACAAAGCGTTTGATTGGAATCTAGTGGAGCCAGATCACTTATAAATGTATCCGATCGGACACTTTTGTATTTACAAGCTGCCATGACCCTATGGCACGCGTTGTTAGGCTGATGGATCTGCCCTAGCCTCAAATCTGAGCATTTTTTGGAACTCAAAAGACCCTTACAGTGTGGGTCAAGACTTTCACTGTGAACAGATTCTTGCACAGAATTGCATGGCTGCCTCTTTCTTGGGTGCAGGTGGTGTCTATCGCTTCCTGCGACGGAAATGCGTCAGTGAGGGAGTCATCCTTCCAGCAAGGCCTGATGTCAGTTGCTAGTGTTTGAGGTGGTGATCCAGCTATAGGGTGTATACATTTTGTTGCTTTCGATCCTGTTGCACTGCACTCCTGTTTCAAGCACACGCTGCCAAAACTCCTTCCTCTCCCTATGGTTGATCCTGGTCTATGTAGATTGAAGCCCTTTACCTTCCTTGCCATTTCACAGAATAATCTGGTTGCTCAATCCTGCAGATGCATTCAGGAGGTGATGGATCGTGCACCTGTACAGGGGCTGTCAGGGAACTGTATGCAGCTGAGTGGTTTGGGTTTCATCCAAACGCAATTATTTGCCTGGCGCTGTTGAGGAACTACTTTTTTTACTTTGGCTACAACGATGCGACCCAAGCAGAGTGCTCAACGTTTTCGGTGCGAGTGATGCTTTGAAGACCTAATTTGTAAGGTGGTGAGCATCACAAGAGTCGAAGTGAACTACACTATCCAAGATCTTAGCAGTCCAGGCCGGGCTTCAAGCAATAGAGAGAACTTGTCCAATGAAATGGACATTCCGCTGCCAAGGATGCAAGCCTATCGAAGTACAACAAGGGGGAAGTGTCCACTTTCTTCAGGCTTTTCCTGAATTGTCATTCTATTTGGCAGCAGATTGTGTGGCAGGACCAATCTGGAAGTCAACAGATTGAGGCCAGGCCAAAAGATTTGCACAGATATATTAGATATATTGGTTTAACGGGGCTTCGCCAGGCCAGATCGGGCAACCCAGGGTACATCACAGGCCTGCATAAGCCTCAGGCTTCCAGTGGCCTAGCGACAGCTGCTGTTGTGTTGGAGAGCCGGCATTTGAGGCCGCTACTGGTGACCGAATGCTTGAGCTCTGTGGATGGAAGCTGTGAACAATATGGAGAAACCAGAGATGCAACAGTACCAGGAATTCTACCCGGAGGCCGTGCGTGGCCATGCCACACTCATTGCTGCCAGAATGAGATGCATACGGTGCATATGATATGAGGGGAGTTGTCAGTCGGCGAGAAGGCTTTTAAGAAGCCATACTGTTGACCTGTACTTGTTCTAAACCAGTTGGCCCCAGAGGCAACTGCATGCTGACATCTTCAAATTCGACCGTGGCACAAGAGGCAAGGTTGATTCGGCACGCGAGGTTGAGTGCCGCTGAGGGTTGGCGAATTGAGCGAGGTCAAAATCCGCTTTGGCGAGAATTCGATGTTTGGCCGCAGTCTGAGAGTATTCTGAGTGCGAAGAGGTCAAGAATCTGCATCAAATGGGTATCTCAAACTTTGGAGATGTTTTTTGTGGCAAAGTCGAAAATATCTCTAGCAGTGTCTATAGATGTCTTTGCTCTTGGTTTGCCAAGGATGCACTTTGCCACTTACACGCCAAGAGCTGGCATCACTCTGCAAAGGCTCCGGATTCAAGTGGCTCAAAGACGATACATGGTATGCCGGTATGCCATGCATTGGCCAAGCACATCCAGGTTTTTGATGCTTTTTGTTAGAACCTGTATAATAACCTCTTGCTCCTAGTAGTAAGGCCAGGAGCTCCTATATAGTAGCTTCTTGTTACTCGCTTGCTTCTTGTTACTAGTAGTAAGGCCAGGAGCTACTAGTAGCGTCCTTGTTCCTAGTAGCGATGCCCTTTGCTCCTAGTAGCAAAGGAAGTTAGCTTCAATCGACAGACTGTAAGAAAAAGGGAGCCACCGACCGATCTCTCACTCACGATTCGCTGTTGCAAGAGCCCAAAAGAGCATGGCCAGCCTTGCATAGAATGATGCATGAGGGATACGGCAGAGACAGGAAGAGCATTGGTTGGAAGAACCATGATAGATTAGGAAACTTCCAGCATCCTCCGAAGAAGATTTGCTGCTGTTTTGTGAGTGAGAGACTCAGCTTGAGAAGCCGCAGGTGACTCACTACCAAATGGCTTTGCAGGTGGTAGCCCCAGGGGCGAGATTTTTCGACTGGTTGCATGAGAAGTGTCCACCCAATCTCGATTTGCAAGTTTCGTGGAGGCTACTTGAATCTTCTGCCGATTGGAAGTTGGGAGCTGAGGGATAGAATTTTCAGCTTGGTCAACAGATGTCCAATGAGAGGATGAGAGGCAGTTCCAATCGGTGATTTCGAATCCATCGGCAGATCCAACGGATCTTCGACTCGTGGCTTTTCACGGTCCACTTCTTCGACTCGTTAAATCAGACCAGGTGCCGTTGGAAACAACGTGGCACGAAACGTGGCACGTTGGACACGCATCGCAGCCTTTGGCAATGTGCCTTTGGATGCTCAAGATGCTGCGGACTGGGTGAAGGCGGTGGAGAAACGAACGACGACGAACGACGAACGGTTGGTTCAGGAGGAAAGCACGGTTGGTTCGTTGTAGCAAGGCAAGACTATTAATATTTAAGGGTAATGCTGTTTTCGTCCGGCGCCTACAGTTGGGTGACAAGACAATGTTTTTAGCTGGCATCAGCGGTTCTATATACATTGTCCCACGAAACTGAAGAGACCTTGTTCACATGCTTTGCAGGTGGAGGAAAGACCAAGGACATGCTGAGCCGACATTTCACTATCGAGCTTGCCTCCACTATGTCAGATATTCAGCTGTGGGTGCTTTTGCATGCTCCACGCTCCAACCGCATTTTATTGCACTTTGATGGTTCAAGTAGTAGGATGTGCCATCAGTAGCACGATTAGGATGACGTCCAGAGAAGATTGGACCTTTCACGAGTGGCTTTCAGCCTACGTGGACAAGTACCACCGAAGACCAGAGAGCGCGAACCACTTGTGTGCCTTTGCCCGCAACCAAGGCGGTCATGTGATGTTCAGAATGGCTCAGGAGAAACTGAAGGAACCTCCGAAGGACAACACAGACGTGAATGAAGCTCCAACTTTGCAGAGATCCCGTTCTTGGGCACATGACGGTTTAGAAGCCAAGCTACGGGCTCCTGTACTGCAGCGTTTCAGAAGCGAGAAGATCATGGGCGATGTCTTCATCAAAGAAGTACCAGGCATGATGCGGGGAATGCCTTCATCTTCTGATCCCGAACACCTTGCAACGCAAAAGTCTTTCCGCAACACTAACACTGAGCCACTGCAGTCCTCGGCAAAACTTGCAGCAGCAGTCCTGGCCTGTTGCTATCGCAAGGTTGGGGAACGGGAAGCCAGAAAATCGATGAACACCATTGCGCAGTTTGGCCTCAACAACAATCACTACTTAGATGAATCGAACTGCACAGAAAGGTGTGCCATTTGTTTGGAAGTCACTCAGTGCCTCCAGAGCGCTGCGGGACTTTGCAGGGAACGGCAGTGTAGAGGATGGTTCTGTGCTCCCTGTCTTGAGAAGCATGTTACTACCGTTATTGAAGACACTCGCTTTTCTGTTCCGCATATTCGGTGCCCCAGCTGCTTCGGATTTGTGCCACCTTCTTGCTGGCAGCGTTTTTCAAAGGATGAGTTGAGATCTCAGTGGAATAACAATGCGGCAGATCTCCTTTCGATCCGCTGTGGAGATTGCGATGAACCTGGCACTCTGTTGCAACCCCGCGAAGAAGCTGACGAGTCGGCACGACAGAAACTTGCAAGGAGCCTCCTAGGAGAAGGTTCGGCAGATGTGGCTTGTGCTTTAGTTGAGAAATGGTACTTGTTTGAGAAGGGCGCCATGAGCGCTCCTGACTTGGTGGCTGCGCTGTTGGATCTTTGGGGCGCCGGTAGGGACGAGGTTTCCGAGACGGAGGGGACTCCCAGCTTTGCTGCTGAGTTCGCCACAGCCATGCGTTTGGTTGAGGATGCTGGGCTCCGTGCAGTCTTGCAATTGGCCATGCTCAAGCGTTTCCCCAAGACACAGACTTCCTGCTGTGACACTGAGCATTGCTTCAGATGCAAGGTCCATACTCACCATGAAGGTACGACATGTGAAGAAATCTTGGCCGAACAGATGCCGGAGACGGGTGTGCAGTTTTGCCCATCTTGTAACGTTGCAACTGTGAGGACTGAGGGTTGCAATCACATCATATGCCTTTGCGGAGAAAACTGGACGTGGGAGGGAGACGAGGAGTAACATCACATCAAATCAGTGGCTGATGTTTGTGTCGAGGTCTCATGCTGCACGACTGAGCTCGGTTTCGTTAGTTTGACTTTTCGAGAGAACATTAGCTGTAGCTGATAGCCACACCTGCTCGACCGAGTCGTGGCCAGCTTTGCCACTTGGTTTGTTCCTGACTTTAAATCATGGATCTTTGTGTACAGCTTGTGGCAAGTGCAAAAGGTTGCCGTGTAGATCCAGCTGCTTGTTCTTGCCCTGGTCCTAAAATTGGCATCCTGTCATATCCTGTCTCCTCAGGAGTGAAGCGCTTGAGTTCAGCGATTCTTCTGCGTCGCAGAAGGCGAAAGCCATGAGCACTCCAGTCGATGGGTGGTCCACCATGGCCCCCCCTGCGTCGCAGTTTTGTTGAGGCTTCCAATTCCACCTGCACTGGTGCCGTGGTTGGTGTAGACCTTGAGGCGAAGGGTCTCACCACCAAGCAACTGCTGGTAGAATAAAGGCAACGTAGTTGTCAATCAAACATGAGTTACTCAGCGACAACAGGTTTCCCAGGTCCATCGACAGCATGTCCGCAGTACGTAGTTGGGGGAAGAAAGCACAGCCACTTGTTGGTATGGCTGTTTCTTTGGGCGTGCGTCCTTTCAAAACAGCTTGTGATCGCAGAAAGCTGAAGGATCCTGTTTCGCTGTTTGTCGCATTTGCAGGTAATCTACTCACCGTTTGGAGAGGTGGGCAACCCTCAAATGAAGGTGGTGGGTGCTCAGATTTCCCAGCGGCTTGAGACTGAGTCTTTTTAAAGGGGGGGTAGGCGGCTAGGAGGTAGCTAGTAGAAGCTAGGTAGTAGTAGCTAGGTAGCTACTACCTACTGGACGCAGGATAGCTCACGCTTCTTCAAGGAATCTCCCCCCACCGCCCTAAAGGCGGCGGGGGAAGCTTCATTAGCGCTCGCACTAATGATTTGGTTCCTAGATTTTTAGGGAAAACTTAACTAGTTGGAGGCCAATGGGGCTTTTGAGGCTTGGAGTGTTGGCCTATACGTTGGCAGAACCGACAAAGAGGCAGTCGGCGAGAGATGATACACATCAACAAGCATGAACATGCTGCTGCGGAATACCATGTGAAGTTTAGAAACACACAGGGTTGGGCTTTGGGTGCAGTCTTGCAATCCCGCCCAGATCGGGTGGTCTACTTATGCCTTTTCTTCGCGTTGTCTACTCAAATGCACAGCATCAAACATCATGTGGGCTGCACAGCGTCATTCGCTCGCTGCCCCGAATGCTTTTGAGAGCCAATCATCCACAGTGCCGCAGAGTCCCGCACAGCCGTGCCGCAGGCAAGGCTTCCAGTTTACTTACAGCGCGCGGGCCCCAAGCGCCGCCGTTCATGGTGCATTCAATAGCATTCAATCGAATCAAGCACCATTGGTTCCAGCCATCAACCTACCCATTTCAATTGCATGTTTGATTCTCCGAAGTGCGCATGGGCCATGGACACCAGGTGCCCCCTGCGGGTTCTGCGGGTTCTGCGCCCCAGGTGAGATTCTTCAAGACGGACTCCGAGAACTTGGAGATCCAGGCGCCGACGTCGTGACGCTCAGGACTCGGTCTTTGCGACCGAGACCGCGACGGAGGTGCCACCAAGACCTCAGTTGCCCTTGTCGCTTCCACCGGATTTGTTCTATCCCTTCACAATCGGTGCGGAGCTGAGACCGCTACAAAATGAGAGCTGTGGCTCTGGACCTGAAGGAATGCATTGGCTTGCATGTGGGAGTTATGATTAGGGGGGTTCTTTTGATGCACAGCATTCTGAAGGCCGTGCAGGAATGAGAACACTCCATCCAGTTGCAATGATTGGCTTGATAGCTCTTTTCAATTTAAGGACTCAATGTTAATGCGACTTGGGGGTCACAAAGAGGGGCTCCATGTTGATTTGGTAAGCCAGCACAAGCTTCTGGCCAGGCACATACGATGTTTCTGTTTGTACATTACTGTCCAGGGGGGTTCGTCGGGATCCTGGGCCACTCCGGATTTGAGTGGTACCATCATGCCACCACTGCAAGCGGGCACAACAAAAGCAAACGAGGTTCTGCTGGGATTTCAACACTCTTCCTGGCCTTTGCGAGTCTACTGGCCTTTGGCATAGTCTCAGACCAGGTGAATCCAGTAGGAAGTCGTTGTGAAGACACATGCTGCTCTGTTGGGCTCAAACAGCCGGGTGTTTCGGGGCGGGCGCAAGCCCTGCCTGTCCCGGCATCCCATCGCTCTGGCTCCTTGGTTCAGCGGTCGTTGATACGAGTCATTTCATCGCGCTGGACGGAGTGATGCATGCATTGGTACTAAATTCATCTCAATATAGTAGTACGTGTAGTACGTATGGATGAGGATGAACATTCAACAACTCCGCCAGTTAGTTGTGGGGTCGAGAAGCCCCACACCTCCTGAAGAGTCATACCGATCGAGGGTCGCAGCATCCCGAGGCCCCCCTTCAGAAGGGGCGCCCCTCCAACGAGGCCTGGGCTTCCCACACCAAGAAACCGAGAAAATCCATTCAAACGCTGCGTTTAGGCAGGCCTGGCAGGCACCCCGCGCCATGCCTGGCCTGTTGAAAGCTGAGTGTTGAAGCTGTTTTGGGCAACGTTGAACGGAATCTTTGGGGTTGGCAACTCTTGCCCCTGAAAAGCTCACTCTGGATCTGAGGCTCAATAATGCTGTCCACATTCGGCCAAATTTGGCCCTTGGTGCGCCAGCCAGTGTTTGCAAGATGATGATTGTGCTTCAGCATGACCTCAAACGATAAGATTTGCATGGTACGACTTTTGAACAGCAACATTTCGCTACGAATGTTCCCCGCATCTTTGTAAGGGATCCTTACTTTTACTGTGCATCCCGTCCGCCTTTGCCTTTCCTCCTCTCCTCCCCTCCGCATCTCTACCCACACCAACTCATCTCACACCAAATCAACTCATTCCAACTCCACTCACTCCACTCACTCCACTCCGCTCTCACTCTTGCTCTCGCTCTCACTGTCTCACTCTCTCACTCGGACATTCTCACTCCCAACACTCTCACTCACACACTCACACACTCACACACTCACACACTCACACACTCACACACTTTCACACTTTCACACTTTCACACGTTCACTGTCACTCTCACTCACCTCACCTCACCTCACCTCACCTCACCTCACCTCACCTCACCT